AATCCATGTTTATTCAAGCGCAGGCTGAAAACAGGAAAAATGGAAATTTTAAAAATGCGAGGAATAGTGGTTGTCGAGAATAATTTATTTTTTATTTTCAAAGGTAAAACGGATTCTGTTTCAGGAAAGATCCACCTTCTATTTCTCGCTCTGGGGTCTTTTGAAGCCAGTTTGAGCTTTTTAAAATAATCCCTACCTCTTCAGAAGCCCGATCTTGGGTTTCTAACTTGTTGTTTCTGAAAATCTGTCAAGCCAGTTTAATAAACGCTACTGGGCTAGTTTCGGCCCTTTCTTCTCTTATTCTGAGCCTATCAAGGTGGGATCGCATTCAAATTTTCCCCCTTCAGTGCTCATAAATAACTTATGTATTCAGGTATTCTGCGCGGGCCTGATATTTTTTTTATATAAGTCATTGTATATCTTTGAATTGGGGATGGGGTGGGGGAGGGGGAGGGGCTGATTGGCAGGACTGAGGTGCTTTATTCCAGTTAATAGTGGAAAGGGATAAATGGTCTTTCTGTCTTTTAAGTTGCAGAAGTGAAGGAACAATCTGGTCATTATGGTAACTTTCCAGATCGGACGGATTTGGTGGGCCGCAATGAAACATGCGAACGTATCATAACTGCCCTGTATTCAAACAAGGCTGTTGAATTTGTAGCACCGCCTGGATATGGAAAAACGGCGGTTGTAATAGAGGTCGCTCATGGGATGATCGAAAGGAAAACGTTTGTCGCGTACGTTAAACCTCGAGGTGTCACTTGTGTAGAAGATTTAGCAAGCAAAATAATCGAGAATCTAGGGTACGTTCCCGGAGAGAATACAATAACTGAAGCATTAAGTCGCATATCTTCTCTAAAGAAAAAAAGTGTTGTGTTAATCATTGAAAACATTGACAACTTGCTGTATCTTGAGGATAAAGTTAGCAAGGATAAATGCCACCAGGAATTACAATCCTAAAATCGCTGTACTGAAATGTTTGGAAAATTCACGAAGGACGACTTTTTGACATTTCTTAAAGATCTTGGACAAAGTCCAAACATTCAACTTGTCCTTACATCTCGAGAAACTTATGATTTGTGTGTGTCTTTTCCTCTCGAACTGATAAACCTAGAACCTCTAAATGACAACGATTCAGCCTCTATGTTCTCAAAGTGTGAAGATGGTCTGGACGACGA